CAGTGGTCACAAACACATGAGGCTAGTTTCAATGAGGTCAAGGCCTTACTCACTTCTAACAGTGTACTTGCACACTTCAATGAGTCCCTTCCTGTGTGCATCGCTTGTGATGCTTCCCCTTACGGGGTAGGAGCTGTCCTGAGCCACCTCAGGTCTGATGGAACTCAGGTTCCTGTTGCATATTACTCCAGAACATTGTCTTCTGCTGAGCGCAACTACGCTCAGATAGACAGGGAGGCTTTGGCTGTTGTTGCTGGAATTAAAAAATTCCATGATTTTTTGTATGGCAGGCATTTCACGGTCTTTACTGACCATAAGCCTCTGCTGGGACTGTTTACCACACGTAAGCAAACTCCCCAAAACATTTCCCCTAGAATGCTTAGGTGGTCTATTTTTTTGTCTGCATATGATTTTTTTTTACTCCACAAGCCTGGGAAAGAAATGGGCCATGCTGATGGCCTCAGTAGATTGCCCCTGCCAGTAGTAGAAGCTGACCCTGCGCCAGCTGTCAACATTCTATCCATCCAAGCCTTGCCCAAGTCCCCTCTGAATGCCAGGGATGTTGCCGCTGAAACAGGCACAGATCACACACTCTCACGTGTCCTTTCTTGGGTTTTGTCTGGATGGCCTGAGCACTGCCCTAGTCCTGAGTTTCAGAGTTTCTGGTCCAAAAGGAACGAGTTGTCCACTTCTCAGGGTTGTCTGCTTTGGGGAAACAGAGTTGTCATTCCCACCTCAATGAGGACTAGGATCTTAGAGTCCCTCCACGAGGGTCATCCTGGCATTGTTCGCATGAAGGCCCTTGCGCGCAGCCACTTGTGGTGGCCTGGTTTAGATAAGGACATTGAGGCTAAGGTGCATGCATGCCACCTGTGCCAGCGCTCTCGCCCAGAGATGCCCCAAGCTCCTGTGCATAGATGGGAGGAAACACAGTCCCCATGGTCTAGGGTGCACATTGACTACGCTGGGCCCTTTCAGGGCCAGTTCTTCTTGGTCCTCATTGACAGTCATTCAAAATGGCTTGAGGTTGTACCTGTCTCATCCACCACCACTGCAAAGACTATTCAGGTACTGAGAGGGATTTTTGCTGCACACGGGCTCCCAGATGTCATTGTGTCTGACAACAGCCCTCAATTTACTTCCTCCGAATTCCAAGCTTTCTTACAGGCTAACATGATTCATCATGCCACGTCTGCACCCTTCCACCCATCCACCAACGGTATGGCTGAACGCATGGTCCGCATCACAAAGGACGCCTTGAAAAGACTCACCTATGGGGACTGGCATCACAGGTTGGCTGACTTTCTCCTTTCTTACCGCACCACACCGTCCACTTCTACAGGGAGAAGCCCAGCTGAACTTCGCTGGGGGCGTAAACTTACTACTAAGCTTGACCGGTTGCATCCGGACAGACTGCCTTCATCTACCTCACATCCTAGGGCACCTAGACAACTACTTGTGGGTTCCCCGGTTTGGACTCGCAATTACGGGCCTGATCATACATGGGTCCCCACTTCTATTTCCAGGGTCACAGGTCCTCTATCCTACGAGGTAGCCCTGGACAACGGTCATGTCCTGCGCAGGCACATCGACCAACTCTGCCCTAGGCGGGATCTTCCAGCTGAGATTCCTGGGTCTTTTCCAGGGGGGGAGGGGGACCCTTTGGAGCAAAGGGAAGGGCACGAGTTGCTGCCCACCTCCAATGATGGAGCCACAAACGGCCCATTCCAAGATTCCGCGAGTGCTCCAAACAGGAATTCATGGAGCTTACCCAATCATCAGGCATTCACGCCTACTCCAGCCAGGGAGTCACCCCGGGGGCACAATCACTATCCATCTACACCACACAGTACTCCAGTCAGGGAAAATACCTGGGAGCGTCCCAATAAATCATACCCCACAAGAGAGCTGGCACACAATCCCCAGAGTTGGCCTGACCTTACCCCAAGTCCTACAGGGGGTCAAACATACAGGGAGGTGGTCGAGGAACCAAGTCCCGACCACAACACCTCTAGCCCAAATCAGGGAGTAACTGAGTTTTGGGAAGGCACAGAAACCCACACAAGCCCGGACACAGAACGGGGTTTAGGGGATGGACAGCCTCCTGACAGGTCTTGGACGGACCTAGGAGGTTCTACAGAGATGCCCAGCAGTGGCTATCACTTCAAGGGGCCCGAGGGCCTACAGCTAGGCGGGTCAACCAGGTCACAAAGTGACAGAAGCCCTGGCCTGACGAGCCCGGTGGGCAAGCAAGCAGGCCAGGCATTGGGGCACAGTCCTTGGAAGGCACCAAGGCATGATAAGGAGAACAGGCTCACATCACCCCTCAGTCAGGGAACACCTGTCAGAAACCCAGAGCTGAGAAGGTCACAGAGAGCAAGGAAATCTCCTAAGTACTTAGAGGATTACATAACATTGCTGGCTAAACAAAAGCCAGTAAACAGTAGGAGCACTGGGGAGTAGAACATTGCGTTAAGAAATGATTGTATGTTGGTAGTAGTCTTAGCCCGGGGGAAAAGGGGTGTTATGTCCCGAGCCTTGCAAACGGGCTCGGGGCGTTTGCAGGCAGTCCCGGGCAGGTGCAAGCTGCCCGGGACCAGACAGGCTGTCGCCAGCACCTGTGCGCATGCGCGGGTGCTGGCACGGGAAAAGTAACACATTGACCTGGGAAATGCCTATATAAGAGGCTGGGAGCTTTTGGGCGTTGCTGAAGCCTTCATCTGTAAGCTGAACACAGAATAAAAGAAAACCTGAGAACTACAACTGCTTCTCGTGTCTTGCCTTTCGCGAAGGACTCAATAGGAAGTGTCTCATCAAAAGGAATGGGAATATTTGTGCAGAAGGCATAAAGGAAAATAACCTATATGTATTGCAGGGACAAAAGGTTCAATGTTCCCATATATTTAAGAATGTTGCAGAGCATGATTCGAGTGTTCATCTTCTACATAGAAGACTTGGCCATGCAAGCTTTAAAGTTTTGCAGCAAATACAAGAGTTTGCAGAAGGGCTAAATTTGAAGGGATGCAAAACATATTTGGACTGTGCAGTATGCAAAGCATCAAAGTAAAAGGCATTCCCAGTTAGTAAATGTAGCACAAGACAAACAAAAAGAGTTCTAGAGCTGGTCCATGCAGATCTGGTGGGACCTATGCAAGCCAGTTGGGAGGAGCAAAATATGCACTGGTAATTGTTGATGATTATAGCAGGTATAGTTTTTGCTACTTGCTTAGAGCAAAGACAGAGGTGTTACAACAATTCAAACAGTGGGTAAGTTTTGTAGAGAGAAGGTACAGACAACAAGTGTGTCAGTTGCAAACTGACAGAGGTACTGAATTTATGTCTACTAAATTCCAACAATGGTTGGGGCAGTTGGGGATAAGACACAGACGTACAAATCCTTACACAGCAGCAGAGAACGGTGTAGCTGAAAGAAAGAATGGTGTTTTGCAAACAATGAAAGATTCATTATTAGAGGGTTCTGGTATGAGCAGGTCATATTGGGGAGAAGCCATATTGACTGCCAATTCTATAGTTAACAGGCTGTGGAGTTCCTCCATTAATAATACTCCATATGCCATTCTATATGGGAGAAAGCCATCACTGGCACATTTGAAAATTTTTGGAAGTACTGCATGGGTACATATTCCAAAAGCAATCAGAAGAAAGAGACAGCAAAAGGCAAGAAAGCTCAGGTTTGTGGGCTATGAGCCAGGGTCAAAAGGCTATCGCTTTAGCGATGGAAGTAAAAGAATTATAATTTCAAGGTCTGCTAATTTTGCAGAACAAAATTGGGACAGAATTAATGCAAATTCTGGGTATGTCTCACTTAATGACAGTGATCTATTTAATGACAATAACTCATCTAATGATAAAAAATTGATTATTGAAGATGTCAATGTTCAGGGAGGAGAGGCTGAACAAGACATGAAGCCAAATAGACTTGAGACACATGAGCAGTTAATATCACGTAGGTCAGAGCGATGTAATAAAGGAATTCCTCCTGACAGGTATTCTGCCAGCAAGGTAAAGGTTTGCAATATGTGGTAGGAGCCAAGAAGTTATAAAGAGGTGTTGGCATTACCAAAAGCTGAAAAAGAAAGATGGAAGGAGGCCATGGATAAAGAGATGAAATCCATGGGAGACCATGAAGTATTTAAATCAGTGACTTTGCCACAGGGAACCAAAGCTGTGGATTGTAAGTGGGTATATAAGAAAAAGATATTGCCAAATAATGATGTACAGTTGTTACAAGATTTAAATATTGATGTAAAAGAATCTGTAAAGGTATTTGAAGACAATGCTGCCTGTATAAAAATGGCAACTGGTGACAGGGTGAAGAATAGAAGTAAACATGTAGACATTAAGTATTGTAATGTCAGGGAAGCTGTAAAAGGAAAATTGATTAGTTTACATCATTGTTCTTCTGAGGATAATTTGGCAGACATGATGACTAAACCATTGGGTAGTGTTCACTATGGGGAATGTATTAAGTCAGTAGGTCTGATGTCTCTTCCTGTCATGAAGGGAGGAGAGTTGGAATATTCATGAGCAAGAAGAGTCATGTGGTAACTCAGTCAGCCAATGTGAAGAAAGTGCTACTGAGTCTGTGCAAAAGGGTATTGAGTTAGAAGCTGAATTTTCAGTCTCAGGTTTGTCTCTGTATCTCTCTGTAAAAAGTCTTCATTGAGCTATGTTGCTGTAAAGAAGAATGTATGGTATTGTAAATATTTTGATATAAATATAAAGAAGTTATTTTGAATCAGCTAAATGCAGTCAACTGTGAGAGCTTCTGATTTATTTTTCACCAACAGAAAAATTAAAATTCTCTAATTCAAACCACTTCCGAAATCTTGACAAGGAAACTGCAAAGACTTGTCTTGGCCACTGGGGATAATAGTACAATAGATGATTTCCAAGGCTTCCTCCATGAATTCCATTCGTGATTACATGAAAATATTCATGGAAATAGTTTTGTCTCTTTAACGGAAAACATGACTCACCATATGAAAAAAGCTGCCACTGAATTTCACAATAATTTCAAGGGCTTGAATTAGCTTCTGGAAGCTTTCATCTTCAGGTTCAAACTGATGACCAAAACTCAAAGCACATATGATATTAGAAACTGCATTTATTACTGGAATTGAAGGGTCAAATGGCTGTCCTGCAAATGAAGATATTTCATAATGAATTATTAAAGAACAGGACTTCTAAGCAATGAACAACATTATTGGGAACTCTGTCAATTGTTTCAAAAATTTTAAAACATCATAGGAAATACACCTGTTCTTGTTAGAAATAGAGAGAATGGAAAAACATTCTGCAGACAGACTTGAGCAATTAGCCCAAATTGCATACCTTTTGTTTTTTTAAATGTTTCCACCAACATCTGAACTGTGTCTTCCATCTGATGCTCAATGCTCTTCTTCCCCAGGCCCAGCTTCCTCAGAGAAGTGATACCGATGTGTCGCTGCTCTTTCCAGACGTGGCCATTGGAGAAAATAATACCTGAGGGCATCAGCAGAAAATGATAAGTGATTCCTAAGGACATTCCATGTTAAAAAATAAAACAGATCTAGTTCTTCCCAAACATTGCTCTGAATTTCAGATAGAAAACCTTTTCCCATTTTGTAAAATTTCGGCCATGTTAAGTTTTATTATAAAAGCATTTATTCATGTAGGGAGTCACATGGACACTGAGAGACATATGCGGTATGGTGAACACAGTTGCAGTGCTTGCCAGCTTCTATGATGGACATCAAAAGCTTTTAAGATGATGTAAAGGTTCACGAGTGAGAACATATTATAAGCACAAGGGACAGGATGTTCTCACTGGTAATAGAATCCATTTGTAACTTCCTCCTACAAGATCTATGGAGATTCTCAGTCATCCAGGTCATGGTTGTCCCAAATGTGCTTTTTCAGGAGGCAACTGGACTTTCTTGTTTTACTTTGAAGACGTTTCGCTTCTCATCCAAGAAGGTTCTTCAGCTCTGACTGGATGGTGGGGAATGGAAGGATTTATACTCCTTGCAGACTGCTAGTCATTTGCATTCTTTTAGAGTGTCATTGAGGCCATTTGGAGATTTACCTGTGTGCTCAGGGTCACCTGAGTAATGCAAATGTGTGTGGAGCCTTCTTGGCTGTAGGATGTTTTCTGCCCTGTGTCCCTTCACTGTTGAAGACAGGCGTGGGCTGTTGGGGATGAGTCTGTGATGTCTTCATCTCAAACTGAATCCCTGGATTACCCAGAATCTCCATAGACATTTGCAGACGTTTCATTCCACGAACTAGGTAACATCATCAGTTCTCTCTTTGACAAGTTTCCATCCATTACAGATAGTCCTTGACTAACACCAGTTTGTTTAGTGACCGTTTGAAGTTACAATGCCATTTTAAAAAGTGACTTATAACTATTTTCACACTTACAACCATACAGCATTCCCATGCTCATGTTCATTAAACAAATTTAGATGCTTTGCAACTGGTTCATATTTGTGTCAGTGTCATGAGATCACGTGATCCATTTTTGAAACTTTCTGACAAGCAAAGTCAATGGGGAAGCCAGTTTCACTTAACAAACGTATTACTAATGATTCCCTTAACAACTGTAGCAAGAAAGGCTGTAAAATAGGGCAAAATTCACTTAACAAATGTCTCTCTTAGCAACATAGTTTTTGGGCTCAACTGTGGTTGTATGTCAAGGACTACCTGTACTTCTTGTCCTTCTTTGTGACAGCACTCAAGTGTTAGAAGACAACTTTCTCCCTAATCCTTCTCTTTGATAGGCTAGCCCAGGGGTAGACAACCTTGGCTCTTTTATGACTCGTGGACTTCAACCTTGCATGTCTGGCTCAGGAATTCTGGGACTTGAAGTCCACGATTCATAAAAGAGCCAAGGTTGCCTACCCCTGGGCTAGACCTACCTGTTAACCTCCAGATCCTTTATCGTTTTTGTTCTCTTCTCTGCACATGTTCCAGGGTTTCAATACCTTTTTTGTTTCATGGTGACCAAAATTGGATGCGGTATTTTAAATGTGGTCTCACCAGAGTGATGTAAAGCAGTGCTATCAGTTCTCAATATCTTGATGGTACACTTTGGTTGATGTAGCCTGCTTTTTTGTCAGCTTCAGCAAATCGTTGCCTCATCTTTCAGAATCCGACCATCAGCCATTCCCATGACATACTAGTATTCACACAAATGGTAACAGTGGTTATTTAGATACAATTCCTTACTATTTGCACTTACCCTTTTTTTTCCCCAAAGCAGTCATGAAAGCATCCTCTGATCTATCAGAGAATTCCTCTGGGAAGCTGGTCATTACTTCTTTCACAGTTTTGAATCCAGACAGCACTACTGCAAGGTGAGGTCCACCACTCAAGGTGTATATATTTCCATATCGTTTTACAGGCTGCCAAGAGAATCAAAGTTCAGAAATGTTATAATCAAATAAAAGAGATTATTTATAAGGGGTGCTCTCTGAGTTTGCTTGTTTTCTTTTCTTTCGTTTTATTACCCTAACTAGGTGACATCATCAGTGCTAGTAAAGAGTGCTGTTTGCTGTCAGTTTTTGTTCTGATGCCTTTCATATCTGGGTGGGAATGGCGGTCTTAGGATTCTTTGGTGAGACTGTTTACTAATGGCTCTGTGGCGGCTTCTTGATTGGGGTTTTGCTTACTTCATTGTTAATCTGAAGTTGACCTTGGAGTTAATCTATGCTGATCTGAGTGCTGATTCCTGGTGGAGAGGTGCTTGTGGAAAGGGATGTCTGTGGGGGCCGGGCAGGGTTGAGGGAGATCCAGGGGTCTCTGGCAGGTGGGGCGGTGGGAAGAAGGCTCGTCCTATGGGGAGAGGCGAGGCAAGGCGAGGCAGGGCAGGGGTACCATTCTCAAAAGGCAAGGTAAGGCAGGGGTTGGGGTGGCTGCTGCATGACACCATCGGCCCCTGCACACAGAGGCCAGCAAGCGCATGGGTGCTGAGATGCATCCGGCCACATGGGACCTCGGTGAGTTAGCAGACGGCTGGTTGAAGAGGGATGGTTTCCATCTCTGGGGCATGGCGCACGTGCCCACAGAGAAGGCTCTGAGTGGCACATCTGGAACGCGTGCCATAGCTTCACCACCACTGGCATAGTCAATAGATGTTGTTGATGTCTATGTGATCTATTGATTATGTATCTACATGTCTATTGAGCATTGATTATTTATAGTTAATATGTCACTTATAGGAGTGATGTTTGCTGTCAGTTTTTGTTCTGATGTCTTTCATATCTGGGTGGGAACGGCGGTCTTAGGATTCTTTGGTGAGGCTGTTTACTAATGGCTTTGTGGCAGTTTCTTGATTGGGGTTTTGCTTACTTCACTCTTAATCTGAAATTGACCCTGGAGTTAATCTATGCTGATCTGAGTGCTGATTCCTGGTGGAGAGGTGCTGGAATCTTTTTTCTCTTTTGGGCTGTTTGATAGTCTCTTTTGCATAGTCCAGTGATGGCGAACCTTTTAGAGACCAATTGCCCAAACTGCAACCCAAAACACACTTATTTATTACCAGGTGTCAGGTGGGCGTGGCCCACTGGATGGGCATGGCTGTGGTGGTCATGGCAGATTGGGTGGGTATGGCCAAGGTGATCATCTCAATGTTGCTTGTGGGGAGGAATGTCTGTGGGGGCCGGGCAGGGTTGAGGGAGATCCAGGGGGTCTCTGGTAGGTGGGGCGGTGGGAAGAAGACTCATCCTGCGGGGAGAGGCGAGGCAGGGTGGGGTGCCATTCTTGCAAGGCAAGGTGAAGAAGGGGCTGGGGTGGCTGCTGCCTGACACCATTGGCCCCTGCACACAGAGGCCAGCGAGCGCATGGGTGCTGGGATGAATACAGCCACATGAGACCTTGGCGAGTTAGCGGGCGGCTGGTTGAAGAGGGATGGTTGCCATCTCCAGGGCATGGCGCGTGGGCGCACAGAGAGGGCTCTGAGTGCCGCCTCTGGCACGCGTGCCATAGGTTCACCACCACTGGTGTAGTCAATAGATGTTGATGTCTATGTGATCTATTGATTATGTATCTACATGTCTATTGAGCATTGATTATTTATAGTTAATATGCCACTTATAGTCTTTCCTAAATCTTCAGTTCTAAGATTTTTCACCATAAGCAATTATCTGTTCTTTAGAAATTTATTCCCCCCAACCCCAGATTCCTGCCAAAAACTTTTGCACTTGTATTTCCTTTATTTTCCTGGGGTGTGCCTTTCTCTTTGTTTCTGCTTCAAACATCTGTTTCCTCCATTCACCCTTGTCTTGGATGAGAGATGGCCTTCTCACTGCCCAGTCCTCCTGTGATTGACAGATATGTGAGCCACAGCTTGTCTATGAGTCACAACCTTTGAACACTACCGTTTGGATGGTCTTCCGAGGCTTTCTCAACCTCTCTGCCTTCTGCTTTTTTCAGTCATCCATTCCTCAACTTTCCAACTGCAGTTCTATTGACAGAATGTTCTAGAGACTTGGGCTGCTGAATTAAACCTGAATTAAAATTGGCCACAAGAGTAGTACTATCCATATGAATTATTGGGTAAGGTGTTAAAATAATGGATCAGCTTTCTTTCTTTCTTTTTTTTGGTTCTGTTTTTATTTTATTAAACAAAAGTTAAAATACAAAACTCAAAAAATATTTTAAAAAAAATAGAAAACAAACATTTTAAAAAATCATTAAAAGTGCACCCTTTGAGAAACTGACCCCAAATTTTTAAAATTCTATATCTATTTGCAAATTATTAATCTGTCATCTATATATTATACTGAGAAAGTAGATAATAATAATAACCATCATCATCATCATCATCATCATCATCATCTCTGACACATGACTGGATAATCAAGTGCCTAGAAATAACAGGAGTCAGTAGAAACATCAGAAAATTTGTGCAAAGATCGATGGCACAATGGAAGACACAGTTGCAGATCAATGGTGAGAGACTGGGAGAGGTTAATATCAAGAGAGGAATATTTCAAGGAGATTCATTGTCCACCATTACTATTTGTTATTGCACTGTTTACTCTGTCAACAATATTGAATAACTCAGGACATGGCTATCAAACATCAAAAACATCTACCAGACTATCCTATCTCCTTTACATGGATGATCTGAAGCTGTATGGAAAAACATCATCTGAAATAGAATCGCTACGTAACACTGTCCGTATATATAGCCAAGATATTGTTATGGAGTTTGGCTTGGACAAATGTGCCACACTTACTATCAAACAAGGAAAAGTAGTGAAAACTGAAGGAATCAAGATGCCCCACGAAAATAACATTAAGAGTCCGGATGAGGAAGATTACTACAAATACTTGGGTATCCTTCAAGCTGACAACATCAAGCACACTGAAGTCAAAAAAAGATTAGAGGTGAATACATCAAGAGAGTGAAGAAGATCTTAAAGTCCAAACTCAATGGAGGAAATACCATAAAGGCAATCAACACCTGGGTAATTCCAGTCATTAGGTACACAGCTGGAATAGTGGACTGGACTCAAGCAGAACTAAAAGCAATGGATAGGAAGACCAGAAAAATAATGACAATGAATCATGCCCTTCATCCACACAGTGACATTGACAGACTTTATCTACCAAGGCAAATAGGTGGGCGTGGAATGCTACAAGTACATCAGATGGTTGAAGAAGAAAAAATGGCTTTGGAAGAATATCTGAAGAACAATGATGAAGATGCACTGAAATTAGTATATCAGGAAGGTTTACTAACTACTGGAGAGGCCAAACTGGCCTACAAGAAAGACCAAATGAAGAACAGAATAGAGGAATGGGAAGACAAAGCACTACATGGCCAATACATTAAAAAAATAGCTGGGAAAGCAGATATTAACAAGACCTGGCAATGGCTAAGAGCAGGAAAATTGAAGAAAGAGACCGAGGGACTAATTCTGGCTGCACAAGACCAAGTCTTAAAGACAAAGGCATATAAAGTCAAAATTGAGAAGATAGCAACAGTCAGTAAGTGCTGCCTATGCAAAGAAGGTGAGGAAACAGTGGACCACTGGTAAGCTGTTGCAAGAAGATTGCATAGACTGACTACAAGCAGCGGCATGACAAAGTAGCAACAATGGTGCATTGGAAGATCTGCAAAAAATATCATTTGCAAATATCAGTTTTTGTAAGCGAAAACTGGTGGGATCATAAAATAGAGAAAGTTATAGAAAATGATAAAATTAAACTGCTCTGGGACTTCAGAATTCAAACAGACAAGCACCGGCAACATAATACCCCAGACTTAACAATTGTCAATAAGAAAGAAAAAAAGTCTGGATAGTGGACGTGGCAGTGCCTGGAGACAGCAGAATAGACGAGAAAGAACTGGAGAAGATAACAAAATACAAAGACCTACAAATAGAAATAGAAAGACTGTGGCAAAAGCAAGCAAGGGTAGTACCAATAGTCATAGGCTCCTTGGGTGCAATCCCAAAACAACTGGAGCACCACTTGAACACATTGGCATTGACAAATTCGCTATTAGTCATTGCAAAAGGCAGCCTTATTAGGAACTGCTTCCATCCTGCGACGATATCTGTAATACCATCAAACATCCACATCTGCCTATCCCAGGTCCTGGGTAAGGACTCGATAGGTAGAGAAAATGCCAAATCCAGTCTGAACATCTGGCTGATGTTCATGGTCATGCCTCCTGTTCATGGAGGGTGTCAGTTTGCTTCATGTATGGATTGGAGGGGTTTAAAGTGGCTAATGATGCAGCTGTGGTCTGGCTTCTGGTTTGTGGTCGTGCCTCATCATCGGTGTGGCTTTGGGTTTGCTTTTTGCGTGGATGTGTGGGTGTGACATCCTGTGTGGTTTTTGTGAGTGTGGGTCTGGTATCATTTTTTGTGTTAGGGAGTCGTTTGTCAATAAGGGCGGGTTTCCAAATGGCTGGTAGGCGGGAGGTATCATCTCGCTTGTTCATGCTGTGTGGGCGTTTTTCTATCTCGATGGCTTCTCTGATTATTCTGTTATTAAAATGTTCACTTTTGGCAATGGTTCTGGTATTTTTAAAGTCAATTTCATGTCCTGTGGCTTTAAGGTGTTGGACCAGGGAAGATGTTGGTTCCTCTTTTTTGACTGAGTTCTTATGTTCTTCAATGCGTGCACTTATTCTTCTGTTGGTTTGTCCGATGTATGTGGTGGGACAAGTGGTGCATGGGATTTCGTATACTCCTTGATTTTCTAATTCAATTTTATCTTTGGGGTTTCTAAGGATGGTGGATATTTTTCTGTTTGTGCAGAATGCTGTTTTGATGTTGTGTTTATGGAGGATCTTACTGATTCTGTCTGTGATGCCTTTTATGTATGGGAGGATGGCTTTGCCGTTTTCTTGTTCTTTGTCTTGGATTTTAGTGGGGGTTTCTTTTTGGATTAGGTTTGTAATCTTATTTCTATGGAATCCATTGGATGTTAGTACATTGGTGAGAGTGTGTAGTTCGGGTTTTAGGTGTTGTTCGTCAGCTAAGCGTTTTGTTCTGGAGATGAGTGTCTTGGCTACAGAGTTGATCTGTGCTGGGTGGTGGTGTGAGAGAGCGTGCAGATAGCGGTTTGTGTGTGTTTTCTTCTGGTAGATGGTGTGTCCTAGGGAGCCATTGGATTTCTTGTAGACTAAGACATCCAGGAAGGGAAGTTGGTTGTTAGCTTCTGTTTCCATGGTGAACTGTATTTTGGGGTGTAGGCTGTTGAGGTGTGTGAGGAAGTTGTCCAGTTTTTCTTTCCCATGTGGCCAGATTATGAAGGTGTCGTCTACGTATCTGAGCCAGAGTTTGGGTTTGTGATCCGATTTTTCTAGAGCTTGGGTTTCAAAGTGTTCCATGTAGAGGTTGGCAATGACAGGTGAAAGGGGTGATCCCATGGGTGCTCCCTCTGTTTGTTTGTATTTTTGTCCATTATAGATGAAGTATGTGTTGGATAGGCAGTGGTTGGTCAGATCTAAGATGTGTTTGGGGGGGTTATATTTGTTTTGGATAGCTGTCAAGGCTTCTTTGATAGGCACTTGGGTGAAGAGGGATATGACATCGAAGCTCACGAGTAGGTCGCTGGGCTGTAAGTTTTGTTTCTTTATGATCTCTATAAACTGGAATGAGTTTTTTACGTGTGAGGTGATGGATTCTGCATAGGGCTGTAGTTGTTTGGCGAGAAATTTGGCTAGGTTTTGTAGAGGTGAGCCTATGGAGCTGACTATAGGTCTGAGTGGGGTTCCTTCTTTGTGTATCTTGGGGAGACCATAGAGTTTGGGGCATCTGGATGATTTCTCTCTGGGAATGATTCTTTGCTGGATCTCTTCGCTAATGGGGGAGGCTTTTATTTTGGATCTGGTGGTTTTTTCCAGGTAGGTGGTGGGATCTGTATTTAGGGGTTTGTATGTGGAGTCTTGGAGTAGGTTGGTTAATTTGGTTTGGTAGTCAGATGTGTTCATAACCACCGTGGCGTTGCCCTTGTCTGCTGGTAGGATTATTATGCTGGTGTCTTCTTTCAGGTTATGTAGTGCTGTCTGTTCCTCTTTGGGTAAGTTGCTTTTGGGTGGCTTGCTGATGCAGAGGATGTTGGTGATTTCGAGTCTGATTCTGTTAGCGTCGTCGGGGTTGATTTTGGTCAGGCTGGTTTCAACTCCACATATAATGGTTTCAGTGGGGATGTGTTTGGGAGCGACTTCAGTGGGGATGTGTTTGGGAGCGACACCCTCCATGAAGAGGAGGCACGACCACGAACGTGAAGCCAAAAAATAGCAAGGCAGCCCAAAATCTTAAACCCCTCTGCAACTCAGACTAACCTGAGCACAACCAAACAGAACACTCCCCCAGCCAATCAGAGCACAGCCAACCCCCCAGCCAATCAGAGCACAGCCAACCCCCCAGCCAATCAGAGCACAGCCAAGCCCCTAACCAATCAGAACACACCTCCACCCAATCAGAACACAGCCAAGCTCCCACCCAATCAGTTCATACCCCCACTGGCAGTTAAAAGGAAGAAACAGCTAAGACCACACATTGCTGCTCGAAGCACGAAGCTGAAAACACCAGCCTGAAGATGACGAATGGGACTTCATCGAAATGTCGCCAAGACACTTCCAATTTTACGCGGGAGAAAACCCGAACAATATATATATATATATATTCTGAGGTTTTCGCGGGTGTTTGTATGTAGGTCTTTGGTTATTCGGGTTTTCTCCCACGTAAAATTGGAAGTGTCTTGGCAACGTTTCGACGAAGTCTCATTCGTCATCTTCAGGCTGGTGCTTTCGGCTTCATGCTTCTAGGAGCAAACAGCTACAATCACATATTGCTCCTAGAAGCACGAAGCCGAAAGCACCAGCCTGAAGATGACGAATGAGACTTCGTCGAAATGTCGCCAAGACACTTCCAATTTTACGTGGGAGAAAACCCGAATAACCAAAGACATATATATATATATATATATGTTTTCTGAGGTTTTCGCGGGTGTTTGTATGTAGGTCTTTGTATGTAGGTCTTTGGTTGTTCGGGTTTTCTCCCGCGGAAGAAAACCCAAACAACCAAAGACCTACATATATATATACACACACACATATACATACATATACACATTAAAGGTAAAAAAGGATATATGCAGTGTTATCTTCATTTTAGATATCAGAAGGGTTTTGCGGCTCCCCATGTTTTGTTTTCTGTGGGAAACGGGTCCAAGTGGCTCTTTGAGTGTTTTGGGTTGCCTACCCCTGGGCTAGAACAAAGATCCATAGAGCTTTTGAAATAATTATAAAATGTCTAGCTTCATTTAGGCAGAATGAAGGAGAAACCTCTCCTCTCTGAAGAAGTGGTTCCATTTTCAAACATTTCTTGGTAAGACTGAACTAGAATCTGTTGCCTAAAATCTCAGCCCCATTTATTTCACATCTTACTCTGTGAAACGGTGATGAGCAGGTCTTGGCTTGGATATTCTGACATGAAGAGGAAAATAATCAAGTGTCATCGCTATCATTTAATTAATTATATTCCTCGTCATGCAAGAATATTTACTAGGTTAATACATTTTTCTACAGTTATGTTACAGAGAAAATAATTGAGAATGATTTTATATATTGTTGGTTAATTATTGAGAATGAAATACCTTACGAAAATAATCTTCACGAATCCAAAGTCCAGAAGCCCAGAAGGTCCCAATGAGAGGAAGAGCCAAAGGACCAGGAGGCAAATGTCTTTGGATCCAAAGTTGTCTCAGGAAGAAGAGAATCAGCAGAGCAAGCAGCAAAACAAACAAAATTGTCCCTACAGCCATCATTTTTCTGGCTTTTTGTTTTTTTGATGCTCACTTGTGGATCTGAAGATGGTTGTATCCTTTTGTCTGATGCTTTTTTTCTTCGTGTTTTATATACTCCATTGATGGGATACGAATAACAACATGATGCTAATGATCTGCCTCATTTGTGCTGGAACTTTGTCAAGAAGATACTATCACATTAATTCAGGTTAATGAGGTTGCCTCTGATCACATGCCAGAAAAATAATTCATGAGATTCAGTCGCCAGTTTTTTAAACAACTTGTTTTCCCAGGTCAACTCATGGGAAATTAATACTTAGTAATAATAATAATAATAATAATAATAATAATAATAATAATAATAATAATAATAAAGTTGGAAGGATGATGCTTTTTTTTCTTCCTGTTTTATATACTCCATTGATGGGATACAAATAGCAACATGATGCTGATGTTCTGCCTCATTTGTGCTGGAACTTTGTCAAGAAGATACTATCATATTAATTCAGGTTATGCCACAAAAATAAGTCATGAGAGTCAGTGGCCAGTTCTTTCAACAACTTCTTTTCCCAGGTCAACTCATGGGAAGTTTAATAATAATAATAATAATAATAATAATAATAATAATAATAATAATAATAATAACAACAACAACCCCCAGTGAGGCACTACCTTGACGTGGTTGTGGGGCTTGTGTACTCTGAGGAAGATGAGAGCTATGCCAGAGGTTCAACCATACTGGACAGGTCTCATCAGAGGAGTCAGACAAAGAGTGTCTCTCCCATAAAAAATATGGTGAGACGTAAATTTCAGAATGCCATACCGGCTCGGATGTCGCCCGGGTTAACAAGGTCCGCGCTAGATATTGGAGTTCCTGGATATCTGGTGAAAAATGGGTTACAGGACTCAGGACTGTTGGCTGAGCAACCAGGGCCAGCAGCTGCAGAACTACTGGAAGAAAAGGTGTTTACCCGTCGCAGATACACAGTGATGGAAAACAAAGAAATAATGATCTGTTACTACAGATCAAGTCCAACAAGAAGAGGATATCTAAAACGAATGCACCAGTTCTGGAAAGAACAACATCCAGAATCAGAAATAACAGAACAGAGACTAGCAGATCAACGCCGATTTATAACACGAAATAAAGTATTACAGAAACAGAATTGGACGAACTGCAAAGGTTTACCCAGGGCAAAGAAATCAAAGCCTTACAAGAAGTAATTCAGAATGTAGAGGCAAACCAGGGGGAGTTGGCAGTGAAAGAATCCAGTAGAGATATACAACTGTTCTCATTTGGAAACCAGGCACCTCTTCCTCAGGAAGAACAAAACCCTCTAACTAAAGAAATAAAAGAATTGAAACAAAGAATAACTGAGCATCTAGAACAGCACAAAAACAACAGAATAAGGCTGCCTGCATTGAAGCTTGTTCCAAAGAAACAGCTAGCACAAGCATTAAAAGATGCAAATACTGCAATAGCAAGTATAAGCACCAATTCACTGCAAGAAACAAACCAACTAATGTACAGCACAGCTGCAGTTATAACTGAATACCTGGGATGCAAAATCAACAAAGAAGAAAAACAAACAAACAGTGCACCAGAAAAATGGAAGGTGAGACTAGAAAATAAGATCAGCAAGTTAAGATCACATGCAAGCAAGCTAGAACAGATGAAAGAAAAGAAGCTGAAGAACAAGAAGACCAAAGAATACCTAATCAAGAAATACCACTTAGAAACAAGGAAGATCAAGGAAGCACTGGAAATAATAAAGCAACAAATAACAGCTATAGCCAGGAAAATCAGTAGATATGAAGCTCGAATTGCAAACTATAGGCAGAACCTCCAATTTCAATCCAATCAGAAACGTTTCTACCAATCCATCAATGGAGAAACTGCAAGGAATCAGTCAGTACCTGACAAGGAAGAAACAGTGCAGTTCTGGAAGCAGATATGGGATAACCCAAAGAAATACAACAAGGATGCGGCTTGGTTAAAAGAGGTGGATGCAAATAAAACAGAAGTTGAAATGAAAGAACTAGTAATAACAACAAAAATGGTAGAAAAAAGAGCAAAGAAAATCAAAAATTGGTCAGCACCAGGTGAAGATGAACTACATGGGTTTTGGTTGAAACATCTAACTGTTATACACCCACTCATTGCCAAACAGTTCAACAATATACTACAAGGAGGAGAAATTGAAAAGTGGCTAACAACTGGGAAAACCTACCTAATAATGAAAAATCCAGCAAAAGGGGCAACACCAGGTAACTACAGGCCAATTACCTGCTTACCAACAACTTTCAAATTACTAACTGGTGTAGTAGCTGATGCAGTGCAACAGCATCTAGTTGAAAACAATCTCTTTCCACCTGAGCAGAAAGGAAACCGCCCCAATAGCAGAGGAACAAAAGATCAACTCCTAATAGACAAAATGATCTTGGAAAACTGCAAGAGAAGGAAGACCAACCTGAATGTGGCATGGATTGACTACAAAAAGGCATTTGACTCTCTGCCACATGATTGGATAATCAAAGTGCCTAGAAATAACAGGAGTCAGTAGAAACATCAGAAAATTTGTGCAAAGATCGATGGCACAATGGAAGACACAGTTGCAGATCAATGGTGAGAAGCTGGGAGAGGTTAATATCAAGAGAGGAATATTTCAAGGAGATTCATTATCACCATTACTATTTGTTATTGCACTGTTTCCTCTGTCAACAATACTGAATAACTCATGACTATCAGACATGGACTATCCCACCTCCTTGACATGGATGATCTGAAGCTGTATGGAAAAACATCATCTGAAATAGAATCGCTGCTCAAACACTGTCCGTATATATAGCCAAGATATTGTAATGGAGTTTGGCTTGGACAAATGTGCCACACTTACTATCAAACAAGGAAAAATAGTGAAAACTGAAGGAATCAAGATGCCCCACGAAAATAACATTAAGAGTCTGGACTGAGGAAGAGTACTACAAATACTTGGGTATCCTTCAAGCTGACAACATCAAGCACACTGAAGTCAAGAAAAAGATTAGAGGTGAATACATAAAGAGAGTGAAGAAGATCTTAAAATCCAAACTCAATGGAGGAAATACCATAAAGGCAATCAACACTGGGCAATCCCAGTCATTAGGTACACAGCTGGAATAGTGGACTGGACTCAAGCAGAACTAAAAGCAATGGATAGGCAGACCAGAAAAATAATGACAATGAATCATGCCCTTCATCCACGCAGTGACATTGATAGACTTTATCTACCAAGGCAAATAGGTGGGCGTGGAATGCTACAAGTACATCAGATGGTTGAAGAAGAAAAAATGGCTTTGGAAGAATATCTGAAGAACAAAGATGAAGATGCACTGAAATTAGTATATCAGGAAGGCTTACTAACTACTGGAGAGACCAAACTGGCCTACAAGAAAGACCAAATGAAGAACAGAATAGAAGCATGGGAAGACAAAGCACTACATGGCCAATATATGAAAAAAATAGCTGGGAAAGCAGATAATAATAAAACCTGGCAATGGCTAAGAGCAGGAAAATTGAAGAAAGAGACCGAGGGACTAATTCTGGCTGCACAAGACCAAGCCTTAAGGACAAATGCATACAAAGTCAAAATTGAGAAGACAGCAACAGACAGTAAGTGCCGCCTATGCAAAGAAGCTGAAGAAACAGTGGACCACTTGGTAAGCTGTTGCAAGAAGATTGCACAAACTGATTACAAGCAGCGGCATGACAAAGTAGCAACAATGGTGCATTGGAAGATCTGCAAAAAATATCATTTGCCTGTAAGCAAAAACTGGTGGGATCATAAAATAGAGAAAGTCATAGAAAATGATAAAATTAAACTGCTCTGGGACTTCAGAATTCAAACAGACAAGCACCTGCAACATAACACCCCAGACTTAACAATTGTCGATAAGAAAGACAAAAAAGTCTGGATAGTGGACGTGGCAGTGCCTGGAGACAGCAGAATAGACGAGAAAGAACTGGAGAAGATAACAAAATACAAAGACCTACAAATAGAAATAGAAAGACTGTGGCAAAAGCAAGCAAGGGTAGTACCAATAGTCATAGGCTCCTTGGGTGCAATCCCAAAACAACTGGAGCACCACTTGAACACCATTGGCATTGACAAATTTGCTATTAGTCAATTGCAAAAGGCGCCTTATTAGGAACTGCTTCCATCCTGCGACGATATCTGTAATACCATCAAACCATTCCACATCTGCCTATCCCAGGTCCTGGGTAAGGACTCGATAGGTAGACCAAAGCCAAATCCAGTCTGAACATCTGGCTGACTGTGCGATGATCAATAATAATAATAATAATAATAATAATAAAAAATAATAATAATAATAATTGCCTGGAGATAGCAGAATAGAAGAGAAAGAACTGGAGAAGATAACAAAATACAAAGACCTACAAATAGAAATAGAAAGACTGTGGCAAAAGCAAGCAAGGGTAGTACCAATAGTCATAGGCTCCTTGGGTGCAATCCCAAAACAACTGGAGCACCACTTGAACACCATTGGCATTGACAAATTTGCTATTAGTCAATTGCAAAAGGCGGCCTTATTAGGAACTGCTTCCATCCTGCGACGATATCTGTAATACCATCAAACATCCACATCTGCCTATCCCAGGTCCTGGGTAAGGACTCGATAGGTAGACAAAATGCCAAATCCAGTCTGAACATCTGGCTGACTGTGCGATGAATGATAATAATAATAATAATAATAATAATAATAATAATAATAACAGAATACCTGGGATGCAAAATCAACAAAAAAGAAAAACAAACAAACAGTACACCAGAAAAATGGAAGGTTAGACTAGAAAATAAGATCAGCAAGTTAAGATCACATGCAAGCAAGCTAGAACAGATGAAAGAAAAGAAGCTGAAGAACAAGAAGACCAAAGAATACCTAATCAAGAAATACCACTTAGAAACAAGGAAGATCAAGGAAGCACTGGAAATAATAAAGCAACAAATAACAGCTATAGCCAGGAAAATCAGTAGATATGAAGCTCGAATTGCAAACTATAGGCAAAACCTCCAATTTCAATCCAATCAGAAACGTTTCTACCAATCCATCAATGGAGAAACTGCAAGGAATCAGTTAGT